AACGTTTTGTAAGCTTAATGTTTATAATTGAAAACTTTAAAAAAATTTTCTTTAAGTTTATTTTGCTTGTTGGGTAACATAGCTGAGCCAGCATGTGCATGTGTGTGTGTAATTCAGTATTTGAAAATAGCTCTTTTCGGAGAAACGGATTTCGGATATTAGGAGAATGTCTATATTATGAGACCCGAGTAGCGTTTTAACCTCGAGTACGTGTTTTGATCAGGGTTCGTATTTGCACACACATGCTCTGCTCACACACACGCCAGAAACACATTCAACTTGCATTCACTGCTCATACACACGTGTGTGCATATGTGGAAAACAAACTCTGCTCACAGAAAAGTGTGTGCTGTTTGTTATTAAGCTCATGCACATGTGTATGAGCCGATTTTTGTGCAAATTTCAGCCCATGCACATGCACATAATATATTTTTAAAAGAATTTGTTTATTAAACGTTATTTTTTGAAAGAGAATTCAATAAAAAGTGAGATGTTGTTTGTTTTTTATATGACAGAAAACATATTAAAAAATTATTTTAAGATTTGAGTTAGAATTCGAAGTGTATAAGTTTCTCCACGCAAAGCACACACATGTGCATGTGCTTTATATTAATAAAAATAAAGTACACACATGTGCCCGTGCTTTTTACCAAACGGCACACACATGTGATGTGAGCAAGTTTTTAATTTTTTATATGCACAGCACACGTGTGCGAGCGTAAAATGTTAGGATGTGCAGCGCATGTGTGTGCAAATACGAACCCTGGTTTTGATAGGCCACTAGCATTCCACAGGAGAATATTCATGGGATTGTAGGGATGCCGGATTTCGTCGCAAGGGTGACGAGAAGTTTCATCATAGTTGTGACTTGTTGCATAGCTTGCTTCAGAAAAGTTATCATTTCTCGCATTTCGCTTCGAATCTTTCAATCAATAAATATTTTTTTTTTAGTTCTTATTTTAATAAAAGCGCGTTGTTGGTCTTTTTTAACTGTAATTTTATTACGCATTAGGCTTATTTTTTTACACACTTTTCCTTTTTTTTAATAAAAGGACGAACCTTGAAGCTATAATTGGAGGTCTAATATTCTTTAGCAATGAGTGTTGTTGATGTTTCGATTTCATTGCAAAAGAATATTAGACCTCCAATGATAGCTTCAAGATTCGTCCTCTTATTAAACAAGAAAAAAGAAAGGTGTGTAAAAAAATAAACCTAATGAGTAATAAAATTATAGTAAAAAAAACGTCAACACGCTTTTGTTGCAATAAGAACTAAAGAGAAAAAAATATTTATTCATTTAAAGATTCGTTAAATAAGGATATGAAGTGGTGACAGGTAATAAGATCAACGGAAGTAAGGTCAATTGACTTTATTTCCCATCCTGGTGCGAAATAAAGTCAATTGACATTATTACCTTTTTAAAAACGAAATAAAATCCATTGACATTATTTCTCTTTCAAACATTAAATTTGCTTAGCTTCACGGCGGCCCGCGTCAGCGCGCCACACCGCGCGACCGGCGCCACACACCACGTCACGCTACGCTAGTTTTTGTGCAAATTGCAGATAGAGGGTATTAATGAATTCAAGCCCTCGATATTTCACTTTTTTATATTTGTTAGTTATTGGAAGCAGGGATACCAACTTACTCAAACCGTGTCATTTGTCCCCATTTTAGTTCAAATTTAGGTCAATTGACATTATTACCTTTTCAAAAGCGAAATAAAGTCAACAAAAATTTGGAAATAAAGTCATTGACGCTATTTCCTCATTCAAATGGAAATAGCGTCAACAATGCTTAAAGTATGTCGATTCATAGAAAAAAATGTTGTTCTTACAATAAACATTGCCCCGTAAGTGTTGTTTTATAGATGAAAAAGGTTATTGCCAAATCTTCAGTGTTGTGATATTAATCCACACACAATCATTTTATTAAAAAAAATTAAATTACGAATATGTAAAAACACGATGCGATGCGATGCCTGCGCACAGTTGGAATACGAGAAATATTTGAAGAAAGAGTGTAGAAATGATCCATAACTTGCAAAAAATGTTTCGTTTCCACAAAAATAAAGCGAACACTATTAAATTGAAGAAACAGTCCATGTCCAAAAACCCCGGAGGAACACTGAAAAAATTCTGTGTTTTAAAATAGCATAGTTTGAAGAATTCGGAATGTCTAAGGTGGAAAAGAAACCAACTTTTCTATAAGGAAACAATTATAGAAAAAGAATTTTCTTACACTGTATTTATGTCTCGGCCAGCAATTTGTGACGACATCATTTAAAACCAGCTAAGGAGAATTACGACACTATTTATTAGATGGCACATTCTACGAGCCAATGTGCCAAAATGCGGGTATAAACAATTATTGATTATTTAATATCGGAACCGAGATCATATAAGTTAATTGATTGGTTTTCATACACTTTTGAAACACAAATTATATGCTTTTTTACTGCAGACAAGTTGATGCCCCAAAACACAGCAGAAATCTTCGAATCAGGGCTACCAACTACCCTTAGTTATGAGGTGCCATATTGAGGAAAAAAAGTGCCAAAATGTGCCAAATAGAAAAATAAAAGTGCCAAAAAGGGTGTCATTCCTTTCAATCATTCACATTTAGCAATAAAATAAAGCTACATTTCCCAAACAAAAGTGCAATGATAAAATAAGATAAACCAGTTGAATAGCCTTTATTAATTAGAAAATTTTAGTTGAGAAAAAGAAGTGCACGCAAAGGATTTCAATGTTATTTTGAAATGTTGTTTTTTTTACAAAAGTGCCATTTTGGCACTTTGTCCCAAATTGAAAAATTAATTGCCATTTGAAGTAAAATAGGGACAAATGGCACGGTTTGAGCCAAGTTGGCATCCCTGCTTCCAACATCTTACAAATATAAAAATGTGAAATATCGAGGGCTTGAATTCATTTATACCCTCTATCTGCAATTTGCACAAAAACTAATTTGTGACGTAGCGTGACGTGGTGAGCGCGCCGGTCGTGCGCGGCGCGCACGGTGTGGCGCGCTGACGCGGGCCGCCGCGAAGCTAAACAAATTGAATGTTTGAAAGGGAAGTAATGGCAATGGATTTTATTTCGTTTTTAAAAAGGTAATAATGTCAATTGACTTTATTTCGCACCAGGGTGGGAAATAAAGTCAATTGGCCTTATTTCCGTTGATCATATTACCTGTCACCGTCTATGCTTCTATTTGTATGAAAACAAGTCAATAAAATATAGGTTTAGTACTCCACTCTACTTACTAAACTAAATTTATATTTGACTATTAGTTAAGATTGTCTTTTCAAATGGAACCATTTAGTTTACACATATGAGTATTTCCATACGTCAAATACGTGACAGGCGTTCGTTTCAATGAGATACAAACAAGGAAACACATTTGTTATACCCGAGCGCGCTTGTGCACAAGGGTATTATAACTTTGTTCACATAACGGTTGTTTGTAACAGGCAAAACGAATCGAGATAGATATAGACAAATGTATACATAAATGATCAGAATGAAAAGAGAAATCGATTAAGCGGTGACTGTCCGTCCGTCCGTCCGTCCGTCCGTCTGTGCACACGATAACTCGAGTAAAAATTAAAGTATCTTAACGAAACTTGGTACGTGTACTTCTTTCGGACCTGGGACGGATGGTATTGAAAATGGGCAAAATCGGACAATAACCACGCCTACCTCCCATATAACGGTAATTTTCAGAAATACGAAAACTGCGATATTTTAGTAACTACTGAAGATTACTCACTCAAACTTGTCATTTACAATAGTTTTAAAACGAAAAATAAGAATATTATAAGTTTTTGAAAAATGGGCGTAGCCACGCCCACTTATGGTTACATGTGTATATCTTGGCAACCGCTGCCCCGATTTATTCCAAATTTGGCACAGCTTTGGTCTTGGTACAGCATACCAAATGGCCGAAAATTTTTAAAATCGGACAATAACCACGCCCAC